TCAAAATTTCCAAAACTTAGAAGCAACCATGATATCCTTTAGCAGGTGAATGGACAAGTATGCTGTGGTAATCTGGACAATGGATTATTATCCAACACTGAAAAGAAATGAATTACCAAGCCCCAAAGATATGGTGGGAACCTAAATGTTTATTACTAGTGAAGGAAATCTATGTAGCAAAAAGGCTACACAATGTACAATTCCAATTATCTGACATTTTGAAAAAGGCAAAACTATGAACACAACTTAAAAGGACTAGTGGTTACCAGCAGTTGGGGAGAGGGAGGAGTGAATAAGTAGAAAAGAAAAAATTTTAGGGTGGTGTCTCTGTTGACTCTCAAATCCATAAATGTACAACATGAGTAGAGCCTTCCTGTAAACTATGGACTTGGAACAATGATATGTCAAAGTAGTTTCATCAACTGTAACAACGGAACTACACTGGCAGTAGATGCTCATCATGAGGAAGGCTAACATGGACAGGAACAGGAACACGGTGACATCTCTATACTTTCCTCTTAATTTTGATGTAAACTTAAAACTGCTCCCAAAACATAAAATTTTCAAAAATAATGGAATTCATAGAATCCCCTCTTCATCATACCCCACTCTAACAGTTATGTGGGGAGTAAGGGGGTCTCTATTCAGAGGTTTTGCCTGGGATCTGAATTTAAACAAAAAAAACAAATTTTCAGGTGACTTTGATCACATAATAACAATATATACAACTACATTCTCATCGAAAACATGATGAGAGATATCTCATGTTTACTACACATAGCTATAGGAACTAAATAAACCACAGGTATTCATAAGGTGACATTTCTGATGCCAATAAAATTATAACAACTTACTCATTTAGTAAAATGTCAATTGTCATGTGGTTTTGATTGGGAATATTTATTACCAGTTTCTTCTGATTTGCACTGATTCAAGTCGATTTCTTTCTGTCTTCAAAGAGTATATTTTGAATAGAGTACAAATACTTCATAATAGGTGCTCAATAAATATTTGCTGAATTAAACTAAATTGAACAAATTAGTTATTCTCCACACAGTCAAAAGCAAACATTTAAAATAATTTAACTTAAGCACTTGAGTAGTCACTATTACCTTCCGATTCTATTTCAAGATAAACATCCTAGTGCCATTCTAAGTACACTACAGTCCCTGAAGCTGGCAGCCAAAAGAAGAAATTTATTTGGGGAACACAGCATGAAAACTGTTGACTACCGGCAAGTTAATGCAAATGTCCCTTTCTTCCAACATTTAGTTAGCATAAAATAAAAATAAATATTGCTAACAGAACCAATGTTTTGAGTTTTCACGTGACTTTCTACCCAAACCTAATAATTCATTGCCTTTCTAAAACTTGATTACTGAGTCTAAAAATGTTGCACGAGGCTTACGTGTGCGTTCATCAGGATAGGAAATGACAGGTCTTATCTCAGTTATGAACTCAAAAGATGTTAATAATCCTCAGAAGTATGCACCTAGAAATATTTCACACACGAGTGCATATATCACCATACACCAATATAAATATATCACTTAGAGCCAAATATATGTTTGCCAAAATGCTACCTCAAAAAAAAAAAAAATCTTATTCAGGCTGAGGTTGTGACTCAGTGGTAGAGCACTTGCCTAGCATGTGTGAGGATTGGATTCTCAGCACCACATATAAATAAATAAAATAGAGGTTCATTGACAACTAAAAATAAATATTAAAAGAAAAAAATTTAAAAAATAGTATTCAGGAAAAAGCTCATGATGTGACAATATTCAGAAAGAAGATCCTTAACCTTTTCACTATATACACCTTTTCATCTATCCACTATTTCTTATAGTATATTACATGGCACACAGTAGGCATTAAATGAATAATTATGGAACCTAAAAATTTAAATCTAGTATTCTAAATGTCCAGTTAATAAAACAAATAAAAATAATTTAATGATACTTTGGAGCCAACTCTTATGTGAATCTCATTCTGCTAGATTTTAATATTTTTCCATTGACTACAAACAGGATTTTTGATTAGCAAGTGATTAAAGTGATTTAGAATAGCAACATATTTCTAATGGAAGAATTATAAGGAACATGAAATTAATATTATAACACAAACAAGTAGGTTCTCAAATTTGAGACAGAAATTTTAGCATGATATTTTAAAATGTTCTTGGGTATTGCCTTAAAGATTCCAATTAAAAAGATGTGTTCAAGCTTAGAAAGGACCATTTTTAACAAGCATATATTCTAAGAACCACACTAGAGAAATAGTCCTTTGTAAAAAGAAGGGGAAACAAAACCAAATTTGTTTCCACACCTGAACCTTGAATTTAGCTCTTTCTGTCTTGGTAGACGAGACAAAAAGGAATTAAAGAGGAAGAAACCATTGGCTGATAACAGGAAGCCTGGCAGTTTGTCAAGGAACGCCAATAAATTACTTCAAATCTTTTTTGTAAATAGGCACAGTATGCACATGGAGAGAAAAATATACCCTAGCATTAACAACAACAACAACAAGAATCTACCAGATGGCACTTCATGTAAAGGACAGTAAATAATAGAAACAAAAATGTCCTTATGAGCAATCTGGAGAATCTATAGAAACATCATCAAAGGGTATTTTCTTATTCTAATTTAATTTTAAGCATGAGGACAAACTTTTACACACTGCTGATTCTAAACTGGTATGGCCTCCTTGGAGAACATGAAAGATGCATGTTCCTTACAATCCAGCAATTCTACTTGTGGATATAACCTAGATTCAGAAAAATCCACTTATGTGCCCTAGGAGACACATACAAGACAAGTGCCAGTATTGTTTATATTTGTAAGAAATTGTAATCATGGTGAATAACAGTCAAGGAATAGGGCAAACTGTGGTGTATGCATACAATGGAGTATAATAATTAGGAAAAAAATTAATGAACTAGAAGTATATGTACACATAAAGATGAATTTCAAAAATATACCACTGAGGGTGAAAACCATTTGAAGAATAGTGTGATACAGAACACATAAACACACACCAAATGCATTGTTTCAAAAACATACTTTTGTGGTAAAAATATAGAGAAACTCATGGGATGATACCAAAGTCAAGGACAAACAGTTATTCTGAATGGGGTACAGGGCAATGGGATTAGGGAGGATTAGGGATTTAATTGTATCAGTAATGCTTTATTTCTTTAGAAGGGTCATATATACAGAAGGGAATGTTAGATGTCTGAATTATTTACTAATAAATGAAAACTACAAGGGGATAATATTAAACTATATCCTAGTAAAATCCTAGGGTCATAATGTAATATGATTCGTGCAGATTCCTTTCCAATGATAACAAGTGGATAGTAGGGGAAAGAGGAATGGACAGGGAACATGCCCTGTATACTAGAGAGCAGCCCTCGACAGATTAAGGAGATCAAAGAATGTCTGTACTGTAGAGACACTGAAGCCCTTAAAAAGCAGGAGACTAATCTACATAAACCGATAGGGAAATATGGCCCCCACATATTAAAAAACAAAAGCAAGTTACACAATAGTAATGCTTAGTGTGATCACATTTTAAAAAGAAAAGGTTTACGTATCCTTGTGAACTCATCTACTTAGCTAAGACCAAACGTGGCTTTTCTTTTAGATTTCACCTTACCTAACCTTTCAGCACTGCTGGCCACCGCTGCTGTCTCCTCCTCCTCCTTTTTTTTTTTTTTAACAACACTGGGAATTGAACCCAGGGCCTGGCACATGCTAGGCAAATGGTCATCATTGAGCCACATCTCTAGCCCCATCTTCTTCCTCCTTAAAGAACTCTTTCCCCTGCCCCCGACACCATCACTGTAATGCTCTTGGTTTTCTCCTATCTCTCTGGCTACTACTCCTCTGTGGTTTTTCAAGCTCCTCTTCTAATGTAGAAATCTCAGCAGTTCTAAGAATCAGTCTTGAAACATCATTCTCTATTATCCTCTCTGCCAAAATGATCTCATGTACACTCAGAACTTCTATCATCACTTAACATGAAGAGGGCTGGCAACAAACATATTGTTACCTTTGACTTTTCCCTCTGAACTCTATCTAGCTGCACACACAGCAGCTTTCTTGAATGTCTGCAAGTAATTCTAATATGGAGGAGGCCTTTTGGAAGAAATATGGTTAGATGAGCTCATGAGAATGTTCCCCTTTTTGATGGAAATGGTAGCTATGAAAGAAGAGGAAGATAGACCTAAGATAAAATTCCCCTATACTCTCTCACCAAGTGATGCCTTGTTCCCTGCCCCCAGACTTCCCAGCTCCACAACTGTAAGAAATAAATTTATTTTTCTTTATAAATTACCCACTCTGTAGTATTCTGTTTTAGCAGCAGAAAAAAGACTAAGACCCTCTACCAGTACCTGCCAGGATTCTCCACCCAGATGCACAAACCACTGTCACCTCTAACATTGTCAGCCACCACACTCCCATCTATCAGAGTCCTATTGATTTATTTCCTGAATATCTTTCAAATGTGACTCCTTTCCACTTAAATTAGCCACACAAACTTCATCCAAACTACCAATTATCTCACCCAGACTACTTCACTGGGCTACTGATTGAGACACTCTGATCCATTTAGTTCTTCCTCAATACATTTTCCAGATTTCAGCCAAAGCAGACATGATCCTACCAAGTATGAACAAACACTTATATTCTGCTTGATAACTCTATTTCTTCCCAACCACCTTTGGGAAGAAATATTGCCTGAGATGATTTTTCTCCTTTTCATTTTCCCTTCTTTCTCTATTAAATTTGTTACTCTAATACCATAACAAAAATTCAAAAATAAAAATAACTTAAAAAACACTGGGCAAATGGCCTGCTATGTCTCTTCTGGTATTAAGATACATGATGAAACGATTTAAGCTACTCAGCTCTGATTATTTTAAAAACACACATAAAAAGAAAATTCATGTGAGTTTGATTTATTTTCAGAGGTATATTTAATAGAACTAGTATTTTTACCTTGTAAAAATGCCATCCACAATCCCAATTGTTGCCTCCTCGGCAGGAACATAGGAGCCAATCTGAGCCATGATAGTAATCAATGCGACTTGTTTTATGTAGGAACTCTTTCCACCCATATTTGGTCCAGTGATTATCATTACTCTTTCTGAATCCTCCTGAAATCAAAAAGGAATTTCAATTATAATACCAGAAGGATTTTTATGTAATGTCCATAATTTATCCTATAAATGGGAATTCATTGGATAAAACATTCCTTTGTGACATTTAAATATGTTACTGTATAATCCATTTGCCAGTGTTATAACAAAATGTCTTAGCTGGGTAATCTGTAAAGGAAAGAGGTTTATTTAGTTCATAGTTCTGGAACCTCAAGAGCATGGCATTGACTTCTTCTCAGGTCTGGTGAGGGCCTCGTAGTGGACAGGATCACCATGGTGAGAGCAAAAGCCAGAGGGATCTTATCACAAGACAGGAAGCCAGAGACTGGTAGGGGCCACATCTCTTTTTATAACTAACAGATCATTTTTGTGTGAGTTAACTCATTCCATGAGACCAGTATTAACCTATTCTGAGAGCAATAGCCTCACTGGCCTAATTACCTAATATTTGGCCTCACTTCTTATTTTTGGTGCTGGAGGTTGAACCCAGGGCTTGTATATATTAAAAAAGTGCTCCATGGGTTGGGGATGTGGCTCAAGCGGTAGCGTGCTTGCCTGGCATGCGTGCGGCCCGTGTTCGATCCTCAGCACCACATACAAACAAAGATGTTATGCCCGCCGAAAACTAAAAAATAAATATTAAAAAATTCTCTCTCTCTCTCTCTCTCTCCTCTTAAAAAAAAAAAAATAAGTGCTCCACCACTGAGCTGTACCCCCTGCTGCTCAGCCCCGCCTCTTAAAGCTTCCACAGCTTCTTATATCACCACTCTGGGGTCAAGGGTTCCAATGCAGAAACTTTTGGGAAACAATAACATCCAATCAGCAATATATATCAAAATAAATACCAGCCTGAACAACACTATTGCCGAAAAGTGAACTCAGTACACATAGTTGTTTCAAGGTATTAAAAAAGGAAATAAAGAAAAATCTGAACTCATTAGACATTCTTTAATCTGCCTATCTGAGTGTTTTTCATATTGCTTTTATTTAAAATCTGTCAGTTTCCATCTGTCCATCTTAAAACTATAAGCATTATTGTCACAAGCCATCCACGGGTTGCGTGTAGGTCACCACACATGGAAGCCTAGTGGGATCAAAACACCTGGTATCTGGGAATGACCAGTGGACATTTTCTCTAGTCAACTGCCCAGAGACATTGTGAATTTCTATTCTGCTCTGCCATGACCCACACAGCACCTGAGATGGGTGTAACCTGCCAAGATGCCAATCAACCTGCTGACTGCAAGACATCAGGAAGCAAGACTCTGCCCTTGAAACCTTACCCCTGTCTTTGATGTATCCCTTAAATAAACCACAGGAGCCATCTTTCCTTTGTCTGGTTCCAGCTATTGTTTGGACTGGATGTATCAAGATCTCCACTTTTCTAAATACTTCTGACTCTTTGTGTTTTGTTCTTCATTAATTATTTTAGACTTTAAGTTTTCAGGTGGCTTACATCCTCCTCAGCAGAAAAATGAACACTCCAATGAGATGCTGGCTATGGCCTCTGTTACATTATAACTAGAATAAGATCTATTCTGTGTTTTATAATTATGTCAAAATGAATTCTACTGTCTTGTATAACTAAATAGAACCAATAAATAAATTAAAAGAAAGAAAAAACTATAAGTATTACATATCCAATTGCCCAGGACCATATTTTGGGTTAGTGGTACCTAGATTTTTCAGTCATAGGTAGAAGACTATTAAAAGAAACTTACAACATCAATTCTAGATGTGAGTTTTGTCAGCACTTAATTATTCATTGGCATTTTACCAAAATATATGGCAGAGGTAGATGAGCTACAGCTCTCAGATGACCTAATTTTCTACCTTCCTTTTATTAATTGATTATAGCACATATTATATATAGACTCTGCTAAGGGAGTTTGTCCAACTGCAGCCCTCTGCAGAGAAGTTATTCCAAGGCACCCACACTCTATGCTATGTGAACTCATACCTTGGCCACACCTACCTGGTCCAACTTCTGACTGGTTAGTGAGTCTAGCATAAAAGCTCTTCTCAGAATAGGCCAATTAAACACTCCCTTAGAAGTTAACTGGAAACTACAGAAAGATCAATCAGCTAATAAATGCATCAGAACTTGTAAAGCATCACAGAACAGGCCACAAAGCACTGGAAGATATTAATAAAAAGTTATGAGGAAACAAAAGATATGAAAAAAATACACATGCCGAGGATAAAGAGGGCAGTTAGTAATGAAGTAACAAAAAGATGCAGAGAAAGAGGAGCTGAGGATCTTCATGAAAATAAGGTGGGATCAAAATAAAGCATTATAACATCTCAGCACTTTGGGGGAGGGGGCATTTCATCCCTAAAGCTAATTAGCCACACATTCGCATTTTCCCTGATGTCAAACTGTACTAGAGATGCTGTTCTTCCTGTGTAATTTCTTCTCTTGTAGCGACATGTGGCATAATGAATCTCCACTAATGGAACTTGAGTGAATCAGAAAGAGCCTAGAATAGTAAGAAAAGGGAAGGAAGTTTGGTATGAGAATGGTGAAACTAATGATAAAAATAAAATGAATTCTGCAGAGATTTAAAAAATAATAAGCCTATAAATAAACAACCACATATCTGGTATAACCAAATACTTTTAAAATTTTAAATAAAGCTAATATTTATTTTTTAAAAATGGCAAAATGATACCAAAAGGGAGAATCTAATCATCCTGTATTTAAAAAATTAAACCTGCAATTGAAGCCCTTTAACAAAAAAATCTCTAAACCCAGCTAATATCCCCACTAAGTTCTTGAAAACATTTAAGAAATAGCACTAATATTACAAAAAAATTTCTAGATAACAGAACAAGAGGAAACTCTTCCCAAATCATTTCATAAGGCCAATCAATATAATATAGATATCAAAGCCTGATAGGAACTTTACAAGAAAGAAAAATTTAAGACTAATTTTACCTATAAATATAAAAAGCAAAACCCCTTAATAAAATTTTAATAAGCAAATACCAGGTATAGAGCTTCTGAGAAATTCAAGGTTGGTTGATTAGTTTAATATTCAAAAGCCAATCAATAGAATTTGCTGCACTAACAGAATAAGGAAATTATCTGATGATCTTTAATGATACAGAGAAAGCATTAAAGTTCAACATTTACTAGTGAAAAGAATAAGATAAAGATACAAAAGGTATAAGAATTGGAAAGACAATAATGAAACTGTTATTATTCATATAGTTGTGTTCCCAAAAAGAAATTTACAAAAATGATTAGAACTGATAAATGAATTTAGTGAAATCAAATTAGATACAAGTTCAGTATTCAAAAGTCAACTTTAACCCCTACATTTTAGCACTAAGTAATTAAAAATAAATATATTTTAATCAAACAATTTACCAAAGTATCAAAATAAGTCAAATATCTAGGAATAAACCTAACAGAGAGTCAGAGAGTAAGATCTTTATACAGAAAGCTATAAAACTATTATGGAAGGAAATTAAAGAATACCTAATTAAATGAAGTAGGATACTGTGTTCATGAATTGGAAGGCTCAATATTGTAATGCTATACAATTAGTAATGCTATATTAATTAATAATGCTAAAATAATTAATGCTATAGCAGTGGAAGAGAATAGAATCTAGAAATAGATTGGCATGTATATCATTCCTTGATTATAACAAAGGTGACAATGCTGTTCTGACAAAAGACGGTCTTTTTGATGACTTGGGCTGGGTCAAAGAATGTCTATACTGAAAAATATGAAATCTTGATTCTCTATCTTACTTAGTAAACAAAAATCAATTCCAGATAGATGATAGGTTTGAAATACAGGAACAAATATTAGGGCTATCAGACAATAACACATGATTCTGATGTAAGCAACAACTTCTTAAACAGATCTTCTTAAACAGGACTATAAAGGAGAAGACTGAAAAATTGGAGTACGTTAAATAAGGAAGTTATGTTTATCAAATGGTACCATTAATAGACTGAAAATCTAAAGAACAGAAGGTACCATTACATTATGTATTTTCCAAGTACTTGAATCATATATATATGATATATATATATATATGTGCAAATATTATATATAAATCAAAAGAAAAAACTAAAAAGAAAATGACAAAAGAAGATATACAAATGGTTGCTAGTAATATGCAAAAGTGTCCAACTTCAATAATCATTAGAAAAGTGAAAGTACAAATCCAATCATAAAAAGATACCACAACTCCATGTGTACAGCTAAAATTTAAAAACAAAAATTGTCAATGTTATATTTTGGCAAAGATGTTGAGGAAATAAATTGTATGTCATTTTGAAAAACAAAAACCTTAGCAGTATCTACTAAAACTTAAAACAGACACAGCTAAAGAACTGTGCTCCTAAGTACATCTTTAACAGAAATGTAAATGATAAATAACAAAAGGTACGTGAAAGATTGTTCACAGCATTACTTTTCAAAATAGCCTCAAATTGCAAATAATTCCAATGTTTATCAACAGTGAAACAGATAAACTGTGATATATTCATACAAAGAATTCTATATGACAATGGAAATAAACTACATGGAAAATCTGTGAATGACTCGCACAAAAACAATGTTGGGGCAGGTTGGGGCTGTGGCTCATTGGTAGAGAACTTGCCAGCACATGTGAGGTACTGGGTTTGATCCCCAGCATCACATAAAAAAATAAATAAAATCAAGTTATTGTATCCATCTATAACTAAAAATATTTTTTAATGTTGGATAAAAAAATACACAGTATATATTGTATGTTTCTATTTTTTACAAAGCTCAAAAACAGACAAAACTAAAATATGGTAAAATAAATTAGGACAACAATACCTTAAGGGAGCAAGGAGGTGACTCAAAGGAACTCCCCTGACCAGAAGGGGCACCATTTCTACTCTAATGTTCTATTTCTGGATTTGGATGTTGGACACTTGAGTAACTTTGTAAAAACTGACCAAGCTGGACACCTACAATCTGTGCATGTTACATTTCAATAAAGGTTAGT